GGAATATTGTATGAAATGTACTCTGGTCCCCCTCCCTGCTTCTCCTCTCTGACCCTTTGCCCCAAAAGAATGTGACCCGAGGATTACTGTAACAGGGAGGAAATCCTTTGTCCTCCCGAAACGGTCCATATACATTTGCATGGGCCCGTGATTGATTCCTTCTCAAACTTACTTTCAGAGCAGACAGTAAGATGAGGGATGGGTCAACAGAAACTTAGGAAGAACAGACTGATTGACTCATTTTTAGGTATTTTGTTGATCCCCCTTTTGAGGTCCAAATGCCACCGAAAGCTTCTTTTCATACTTCCTCCCAAATCCCATCACAGACCAGGAAACTTATTGTTCCCCTATCAGACACCCCGCCAGGTGAGGACAAAAGCCTCACATTCCCCTTAAGGCTGTCATTTCCTCAGTCTTTGTCAAGCTTCGTCCCGCCTCCTGGCTGCCGATTGGTCCATCTTCAGAGGCGCTAGGAAGGCACTGATTGGCCTCCCAGAGGCAGCGGAGCCCGCTGATTGGTCCAGAGGCGAGGCATGCTGCCAAGCCTCCTCCCAGCTGTTCCGCGGCCAGCCAATCAGCACGAAGCCGGCTGACAGAGGGCGGGCGGGATTTTTGAAACTGTTTTCCTTTGTCTGTGTACTATAAAAATGCTTGGAAATTCTGTAAAACCATGCTTACAGTGGAATGATTCCTGTAATGCATCTGATCTCAGCTGAATCACAATAAACCTCGATTGCTGAAAAGAAACTTCTTCCACTTGGATGAGGCATTATTATTTATAATATTTTTACTCTTTGGATTGGCTCTCGCTGGCCTCACCAAGGGACCCAGAGCCCTTTAGGCGCGGTCCTCGGGTTTCTCTCTCTCTCAAGGAGACCCCGCTAAAAGCAGCTCGATATCACATCCAGAGAGCACTGTGGACTCAAGCAATGATGAATCTGGGCCAAACTTGGCACGAATATTCCATATGCCCAAATATGGACACAGATGGAGTTTGGGGGAAATAGACCCTGACATTTGTAGTTATTGTGATTTATAGTTCATCTACAATCAAAGAGCATTCTGAACCCCACCAACAACAGAATTGGGTAAATTTCCCAAACAGAACCCCCATGACCAACAGAATATATTTAAGGAAATCCAGTCCATCTCCCTTCACTAGGGCAAGAAAATGTAATCAGAGCCCTCCTGACAAAGAGCTATCCAGTTATAGATAGATAGATAGTTATGGTTCACACACAGATATAGTATCATAGATTTGAAAGGGACCCCTAAAGAAGAACAATTCTATGTTGCATGTTCCAGAGTAGAGTAGGCAACCCAGACAATCTTCAACTAGTCCAACGAGAGGCAGGCAGGTAAATAACTGGGGTGGCATACAGGAAGCACACAACTTCCATGTTACGCCAGCTCCATTGGCTGCCAGTTTGCTACCGGGCACTGAAGGGAACCCCTTTTGTTAGGCACCCCAAGGCTGGTGACAGAAAGCAAGCAGTCTCCATAGGTGAAGCAAAATCTCTTTATTCAAGTGTGGCCACACAGGGAGAAACAGCCAAGACAGACCAGTGTCTTCAAAGAAGGCTGACTCTCCCATTTGGATCTTTCAGTCACCTTATATACATGTCTTTTCGCTGTGTCATGGGCACACATCTCTCTTATCGGATCAACCATTCAAAAACATGTTTTTCTCATATTTTGCCACTTCAGTGTCTTTAACTGATAACCTTCTACAAACTACGTAAACACACACATTATTGTTACAGATAAGCATTTTGGGTGTTAACCCACCCTGGGTACTCCCTGGGCGTACTTGACAATAGAGCATCTTGTGTCTTCTAGATACATTATCTCCTTTTGGCTTTTGGTCTTCTGCAGGCCAGAGGAGAGGGACAAACCCCTCTTTAGGTTTGCATTTCAGCATTTAAACACTTCTAAGTTCTGTTAACCCTTTCAGCACCATTCAATGTGCTGGATTTGGCCTATAAAGCCCTAAACGGCCCCGGCCCAAATTCACTGTCCGAACGCATCTCCCCCTATGAACCAGCGCAGAGATTAAGATCCTCCGGGGAGGCCCTGCTTTCCATCCCGCCATTGTCACAGGCACGAGAGACAGGTCCTTCTCAGTGATGGCTCCCTGGCTATGGAACTCCCTTCCTGGTGAGATCAGGTCAGCCTCCTCCCTCCTGTCCTTCAGAAGGATGGTAAAAACTTGGCTGTGGGGCCAAGCTTTCAGAACAGGGCAATAAAGCAGCAATAGGAAAGATGACCAGGCCAATTAGACTTGATGTGGATGACTAGGACGGTTTTAAAAGGTGTATTTTGATATTTTGATATTTTTTTTAAATGTTTATGCATGTGTATGTGAATTTGTGTCCCGGCATTTAATGTTTGCCGTGTATATGTTGTGCTCCGCCCTGAGTCCCCTTCGGGGTGAGAAGGGCGGAATAGAAATGTTTTAAATAAATAAATATTAGGTGTATTGTGTCAAAATTTCATGTCAATCCATCCAGTAGTTCCTGAGTTATGTTTCTCCCACAAATGAACATGATAGATAGATAGATAGATAGATAGATAGATAGATAGATAGATAGATAGATAGATGATAACTCCCGTAATTTTTATTACTATCCACTCTGCGGACTAGGGATGATGGGGATTGCCACCCAACAGCACTTGTGGCTGTGAGGCTGGGGAAGGGTTAAAGGAAGCTTTCTCTAAATCCAAACCCCACAAACAGAACAAGTGGCAGCCTTCCAGATGTTACTGTATCCCAACCCCCATCAGCTCTTGGCTTGCTGTCTAATAAGGAGGAAGATGGGAGTTGTAGTTCAGCATCTGGAGAGCCACACAAAAGGCCGTATTTAGGCCACCCACAAGCCTCCAGTTTGATACATCAGTATTTTGCACCACTCTATACTACTGCTACTAATATTATATATATATATATATTAGTATATACTTATATTACATGTAATATTACTAATAATAGTATAATATAATGGTATAGTACAATATAGTGATATGTAATACTGATATTGTATTATGCTAATAATATTATATATATATATATATATATATATATATATATATACACACACACATACACACACACACACTAGCCGTCCCCTGCCATGCGTTGCTGTGGCCCAGTCTGTGTATATGTGTTCGTGTGTGTATATATGCATACATATGTATGTATGTATTTGTGTATATGTATATATGTGGTTTTGTGCATGCGTTGTAATGTATTTTTATTTTTTGTGGTTTTTAAGCCTCTTCTACTGTGTTTTTCAGTGTTTTTATGAGTGATGGCCACTCATTGGCCTGATAGCGTATTGTGTCCAAATTTGGTGTCAATTCGTCCAGTGGTTTTTGAGTTATGTTAATCCCACAAATGAACATTACGTTTTTATTTGAGAGGTTATTTCCTGAGCGTAGGGGCCCGTAATAAGAAAAGCGAGATAGCAGATAGGGTTAGAATTTAGTACAGAAAAATAAGCCATTAAAATGGAGCTTATCCGCCATTTTGTGGATACAGAGATCTGAAAGGAGAGATTCCGTATCCGTGGTTTGAAGCGACGCAGATTCGGCGTCCCCAGAACGCCAGGGAGGCATTCTGGGCAGGCTCGCAGTCTCCCGCGGCCTGGAAAAGGTTGAATTCATGCATTTAGATAGTTCAGGCAAGAAGTGACACAAAGTATCAAGCTAGAGAGATAAAAAGTTGCAATTTCAAGTACCTTTATTTGGGGAATAGTTACGAAGTTAGGGCTTGAGGGAAAGTGAAAGAAAGACATAGAGGCTGTGCATAGTCCCTGGTTGAGCTGGCTGTTGGGGGCACATTTCATCAGTTTGTCCCAATTGTGGCTCCCAGGAACTGCGGAACTCTCTGCCGCAGGTCAGACCAACTTGAAGGCAGGGGTCTCCGATGCCCTCGATGACAACTACATTTATATTGATATTGATATTGATATTTATTCACCGGCGCGTCCTACAGGGAGCATACCACCCCCCTGTTGTGTCAGCTCCACTGGCTGCCGATCCAGTTCCGAGCACAATTCAAAGTGCTGGTTTTGACCTACAAAACCCTATACGGTTCCGGCCCAGTGTATCTGTCCGAACGGATCTCCCTCTACGTCCCACCTCGGAGTCTAAGATCTTCTGGGGAGGCCCTGCTCTCGACCCTGCCTCTATCACAAGTGAGGCTGGCAGGGACAAGGAGCAGGGCCTTCTCGGTAGTGGCCCCTCACCTGTGGAACTCACTCCCCGGGGAGATTAGATCAGCGACTTCCCTTTTGTCATTCAGAAAAAAATTGAAGACCTGGATGTGGGACCAGGCTTTTGGACATTCTGGCAGCTAAAGGAAAGACCTTGATGATGGGCAGGAATTGATGGAACGAAATGGATTTATGGAACTCTGAACAATGACCATGAGATTGTTTACTATTGTGTTATGTACTGATGTTTTTAACCTGTTAACTGTTTAATTGCTTTTATGTATGTATGTATTTTTGACATAGGCATCGAATTGTGCCTTCCTTTGTAAGCCGCCCTGAATCCCCCCTTGGGGGTGAGAAGGGCGGGGTAGAAGTAACTGAAATAATAATAATAATAATAATAATAATAATAATGTGTGTGTGTGTATGTGTGTGTGTTGTAAGCTGCTCTGAGTCCCCTTTGGAGTGAGAAAGGCGGCATATAAATGTCTTAAATAAATAAATAAATAAAATAATTATTAAATAAAACACCTGAAAGCTGAAGTTTGCCCATGCCTGCTATACAAAGATTTTTTAAAGTGCCTGCCATTCCCGACGTGGCCACTGGGGGCGGCAAAGGACATTGGAGCCGTGGAGTCCTGAGCCAAAGAGAGGGTGCAATTTCAGATGCGTCCACTGGAGGCAGAAGTTTTTTGTGTGTGCCGCTCTGCCTTTTCCTCTCTACGGCCCTGCGTCAGAAGGCGGAGCCTGGCTCCTGCGTGAGGCGCTCTTCCTCTTCTCTCACCCACTCCCTCTGTCGTCGCGGTTTGTTTGCGTCACGGGCTAAGCGCCTTCTTCCGGCATAACTTAGAGCTTGGGAAAGGAAACCATGGCGGACATGGAGGAGCTGTTTGGCAGTGATGCCGACACCGAGCCAGAGCAGAAAGGTAACTCTTCCTCTTGAAAGCCTTCCTTTGAGGAAGATTCCTCATTTGGTCTCACAGCAAGGCCTCAACGCCCCTTGTGCGCCTCTACTCTGTGGAATTAACCCAGTTTCATACCACTTTAACTGAATTCAGGGGCCCTCAGACTTCTTAAACAGAGGGCCAGGCCACAGTCCCTCAAACTGTTGGAGGCCCGGATTATAATTCGAAAAAAGCATGAATGAATTCCTATGCGCAATGCACAGATCTTATTTATAGTGCAAAAAAACACTTAAAAACAATACAATAATTAACATGAAGAACAATTTTAACAAATATATAAACTTACTAGCTGTCCCCTGCCACGCGTTGCTGTGGCCCAGTCTGTTGATCTGGAAAATAAAGTAATGAGGAAGTGTTTATTTATTTATTTATTTATTTACTGTGCTTATATACCGCTGTTCTCAGCCCGAGGGCGACTCACAGCGGTGTACAACATAGAAAGGACAGCGTACAATTTACAAGATACAATCTAAAATCAATCTAGCAATAACCAAAAAAAACATCGTCATCAGAAACATCAACAATATCACTAATACAAAACGCCATTCGCGTCGTCTCATCATTAAACCACAATCCAGTATCATTTGGTTTCTAATATATGTAATTTCTTTATGTTCGTGGGTAAACAGTAGAATCATAGAATCAAAGAGTTGGAAGAGACCTCATGGGCCATCCAGTCCAACCCCATTCTGCCAAGAAGCAGGAATATTGCATTCAAATCACCCCTGACAGATGGCCACCCAGCCTCTGTTTAAAAGCTTCCAAAGAAGGAGCCTCCACCACACTCCAGGGCAGTGAGTTCCACTGCTGAACCAGGGCAGTGAGTTCCACTTCCTGACTCTCACAGTCAGGAAGTTCTTCCTCGTGTTCAGATGGAATCTCCTCTCTTGTAGTTTGAAGCCATTGTTACATTGCGTCCTAGTCTCCAAGGAAGCAGAAAACAAGCTTGCTCCCTCCTCCCTGTGGCTTCCTCTCACATATTTCTTGCTGTTTCTTTGTCAGTGTTGATGTGGAGAATGTCTGGTTTGCCCACCCTGGAACATGCAAGATATCATTGTCCTTCTTTAGGGGCCCCTTTCAAATCTATGATACTATATCTGTGTGTGTGAATCATATCTATCTATCTGTCTATGTATGTATCTATATCTATGGCTGGATGGGTCTTTGTCAGGAGGGCTTTGATTACGTTTTCTTGCCGTAATGAAGGGAGTTGGATTGGATGGCCTTAAGTATTTTCTGTTGGTCAGGGGGGTTCTGTGTGGGAAGTTTGCCCCGATTCTGTCATTCGTGGGGTTCAGAACGCTCTTTGATTGTAGGTGAACTGTGAATCCCAGTGACTACAACTCCTAAATGTCAAGGTCTATTTCCCCCAAACTCCATCTGTGCTCATATTTGGGCATATTGAGTGCTTGTGCCAAGTTTTGTCCAGACCTGTCATTGTTTGAGTCCACAGTCCTTTCTGGATGTAGGAGAACTACAAGTCCCAAACTCAAGGTCCATGCCCACCAAACGCTTCCAGTAAATACTGGAGACATTTGGGAGTTGCAGTTGCTTGGGAATATAATTCCCCTGTCATTAAAGAGCATTCTGAACTCTGACAATCATGAAATTGATCTAAACCTGACATACAGAACTCCTGTGAGCAACATAAAATACTGGAGAAGTTTGGGGAAAATATACATACCTTGACAATTGGGAGTTGCTGTTACTTGGTGCATTTTGGAGTCTGGGCCCAGATCCGGCAGGGAGGCTCGTGCCTCCAGCAAGCCCGACAGGCGATGAGAGCCGGGCACAGGAGGATCCCCCACTTGGCCTGGCCTTACATGGAGCCTCTTGCTGCCGGCCGGCAGGAGAGCAATCTAGGTGAGGGAGGCCTCACACAAGGCAAGGCCTTGCGCAAAGCGGCCGTCTGACCTGCGCCCCTGCCAGCCGGCGGGAGTGTTTTTGAGTTATGTTAATCCCACAAATGAACATTACATTTTTATTTATATAGTTTTATATATATACACACACACACATATAGTAAGCCGCTTTGAGTCCCCTTCAGGGTGAGAAAGGTGGCATATAAAGTCCCAGTGTTTAGGACTTCAACTCCTACAATTCCTAACAGCAGTCTATTAGGAATTGTGGGAGTTGAAGTCCAAAATACTGGGAGGGCCAAAGTTTGCCCACGCTTGGTATATATGCTAATTTGATATAATATTCTGTCGCTTATTGTACAAGCCCAGGGCCATGACAAAATAGTACCCTCAAAGCAAACTGAAAGCAAAAGATAACAAACAAAGGCCATGATGATGCTAACACAGAGAGCAAAACCAATGTGAATTATCACTGGTTAATATTACTGCTTCATATTTTGTTTTCCTTGACAGATTCTGATTCGGGCTCTGAGTCCGATTCTGATCAGGACAATGCTGGTTCTGTCAGTAATATTTCCGGTAGTGAGAGCGAAAGAGAGGACGATCAGGAGGCTTTAAAACCCAGTAATAAAGAATTGTTTGGGGATGACAGTGAGGATGATGGTGTTTCTCATCATAGCGGTAGCGAAAACCAGTCGGAAAGATCCTACAATCCCTCTGAAGTCTCCGGACACTCTGAAGTGGAGGATCGCGACCAGTCAGATGCCGACCAGCACAGTGGTTCTGAAGCCGGTCACGATGAGGATGAAGACGAGGACCACCGATCAGAGGATGGCAGCCATCACTCGGAGGCAGAAGGGTCTGAGAAAGGACACTCGGAAGATGAGAAATGGGGGAGGGAAGACAAGAGTGATCAGTCCGACGACGAGGACAAGCTCCAGATCTCAGACGAAGAAGAACGACTGCAGCACTCGGATGACGAAGAGAAAATCTCCGATGATGAGGAGAGGCTTCCGGTTTCAGACGATAAAGAGAGGCTGCAGCATTCAGATGATGAGAAAATGCACATTTCGGATGACGAGGAGAGGCCTCAAGTCTCGGATGAGGAAAAGCTGCAGAATTCCGACGAAGAGGAAAGGCCTCGACATTCCGACGAAGAGAATGTGCAAAATTCGGATGATGAAGACGAAAGGCCGCAGCGTTCTGATGAGGAGAAGATGCAGAACTCAGATGATGAGAGGCCCCAGCATTCGGATGATGAGCACCGACTCTCGGAGGATGAGGAAGAACACGAACGCAAATCTGGTAAGTGTGAATGGGTAGCTCTTTTTTGTATTTATATTTGAATTATTGTATGTTTACTTTTAAGCTTTTTTTAAAATTGCATTTCTATTTGTTTTACTTCTAAGCTTGTTATTGTATTTATATTCGAATTATTATCTCATGTTTATTATTGTATGTTTAAATTGATATGTTAATTGTTTAAATTCATATGTTATGTTTATTATTATATGTGTAATGCAGCATTGTATGCCATGGATTGTAACCCACCCTGAGTCCCCCACTGGGATGAGAAGGGTGGGCTATAAATGTAGAATAATAATAATAATAGCCTAACTTTCCCCCTCACAGTCCTCTTCCGGTTCCACTGACTACCATGTCTGCTGCCAGCCTTCAATGGCTATCAGCCTCAGTCAGCCTAGCCAGTAGTCATGGATTGTGGGAGTTGTAATCTAAACCATCTGGCGAGTGTCCCTCTTGTAGGAGTTCCAGTGGAACTAACTTTGATATTTCTTAGATTCCGCAAGAGGCAGTGACAGTGATGATGAGATGCCACAGATGAAGCGTAAGAAGCAAATAGCATCAGATTCCGAAATGGAGAGTGATGCAGAAGGACAGAAAGGTAAGCAGTGGCGCTCCTTGTTTTCAGCATGAGCAGAAGTGGGGTGTTCATTCCCAGGGCCCTCCAAACATTCTGCAATGGAAATGAACAAAACGTTGCCACTAAAAAGGGCACATGCATGTACTTAGTCCTAATCTTTTTTTATACTGGTTTTAAATCACTTCGTTGGATGTGTTGCTATAGCAGAGTCCCAGATTAGTTTAATGTTTACACCAGGTCACAGTCCCTCAAACTGTTGGAGGGCCAGAATATACTGTATACAGAAACGCGGCCTACCTGCGTGGCCACATTTCTGGGTATGAACCCACACAATCTCTTCGTTCATCTGGAGAAGCCCTGCTCTCTCTCCCATCTCCTTCGCAGGCGCGATTGGTGGGGACGAGGGAGAGGACCTTCTCGGTGGTGGCCCCCCGACTCTAACTCACTCCCAAAGGATATCAGGCAAGCCCCCACATTGGCAATCTTTAGGAGGAGCCTGAAAATGTGGTTGTTCCAGTGTGCCTTCCCTGAATAAAGGAAACAATTCCCTGCAAATATCCTGAGAAGCACTTTAATCACCCATTGGATTGCTCTCCCTACATTTCTTCTAAAAACCTTCTACCAGATACATCCTACCTCTGTTCATGCCCAGCGTTTATTTTTAAATTTTTAACTATTACATCTAGCCCGGCCATAGATTTTTAAATCTTTGTGTGTTATTGTCTATATGTGAGTTATATTAATTGCATTGTTTATTTGCTTATTGCTTTGTTGTTTTTACTGATGTATTGTTGGGCTTGGCCTCATGTAAGCCGCCCCGAGTCCCCTTGCGGAGATGGTGGCGGGGCATAAATAAAGTCTTATTATTATTATTATTATTATTATTTTGTCTCTATATGACAAACAGAGTAATTTAAGCACTGGAATTTTAAAAGATGGAAGTGGTGGTGTTAGGATCTCATTTGATACCTAATAGGTAAAAGATAAAAACATATCAAAAGGGCAAATAAAGTTATATTAATTGTATTGTTTTATTTGCTTATTGCTTGTAGTTTTTACTGATGTGTTGTTGGGCTTGGCCTATGTAAGCTGCTCCGAGTCCCTTGGGGAGATGGTGGTGGGGTATAAAGTTTTATTATTATTACTATTACTCAGGTTATTGCTTTAAATATAAATGGTCTGGGGCAGAATCACGTGTACTAGTTCTTCTAGGTCATATAATGCAAAGGACTGGCAATTGCTGTTTTCCAGGATGCCAAGAACCAGCAATACATTTGTGCCCATTAGGTACAATTACAATAAAATGTATAAATGGGATATATAACCCTGTTTTGAACCTTTCAGCAGCCCCGTCAGATAGATTATACTGTGTGAAAGTGAGAAACTGGTTATGGCTAACTTGGGATTTGCACACAGAGCAGTCAATCAAAATACAAACCTCTTCCCCACTCTGTCTTTTCTAGCTGTAGATCTTGTAGTTTATTGAGAAAGAAGCAAAGTCAAAACATAGAATAAGAAATGTAAAAGTTCCATAAGCAGGACAGAGGCTTAAATGCAAAAACACAGTTCCCAAGATCCAGAGGCAAAAACATGAAGCATAATCCTTAGGCAATGGTCAAACAAGAGTCCATGGTAAAACAGTGAAACACAAGACCCAAAATCCCAGATTCAGGAAGTCAAAAGCATGCTGTTTAAAGCCAAGGTTAATCCATATAACTTTGCATGGAAAGAGCCACGTTGAACTGACAACTCCCGTTTGTCATCCAGAAGGCTAAATACGCTTTGCAATCATGATCACATTGCGATGACCCTTGGCCGACTTGGCTTCTCGCTTACCAGCTAAGCGAGAGCTCCTTCGGACCCTTAATTCTAAACATTCTTGCCTGCTCATTATTTCACTATCTTCAAGGCTTTCTTTATCTTGGTTCAGCTGGACTAGATCACCATGGGAAGGTTGGGGAGGCGAAGACAACTCTACCTGGCCATCATCTATCCCAATGACATTCTTTTCCCTTGAGAACTGACTTGATGTTTCCCCTGCTGTACTGTCTGAAGCAGGCACAACAGAAATCTGAATCCCATCATCCTCTTCATCAGGGAACTCTGGCTCACAAGACCCACAGGGTTCAGTTTCAGACTCAGAATCAAAATGAGTCACAACACACAATATGGGAGGTCAAAATAATGCTGCTTCTGTCTTATTCTTTGGGCAAGATAACAGGGATGCAATGGATCTGTTTGGAGGAGCGGATGACATATCTTCAGGGAGTGATGGGGAAGAGAAGCCTCCAACTCCAGGGCAGCCCATTGTAAGTAGTTTTGTAACATCGCATCTCAGGCAGACAATTAGCCCTTGAAGATATTGATAGCTTCATTTGCAAAGTAGATTTGTTTACTCTAATTATTCTGAATAAAAGTGCCAAAGTAATCCTTGATCTTATCAAAAGGAGTTGGGCTAATGTAAACCTCTGAATAGTACAGAATATAGAATGAAAGTCCTGTTCCCTATGTACTGTATATACTCGGGTATAAGCCTAGATTTTCAGCCCCTTTTTAGGCTGAAAAAGCTGCCCTTGGTTTATACTTGAGTCAAAGTTATTTTATTACATTTATTTTACTCTATTTATTATTATTATTATTATTATTATTATTATTATTACATTTATTATTTTACTTTATTATTGTTATTACATTTATTATTTTACCCTACTATTGGCATTATTACATTTGCATTATTTTACTCTATTATTATTTTATTACGTTTATTTTACTCTATTTATTTTTATTATTATTACATTTATTATTTTACTTTATTATTATTGTTATTACATTTATTATTTTACTCTATTATTGGCATTATTACATTTGCATTATTTTACTCTATTATTATTTTATTACATTTATTTTACTCTATTTATTATTATTATTACATTTATTAATTTACTTTATTATTGTTGTTATTACATTTATTATTTTACTTTCTTTATTATTATTGGAAGGATACGTAAGCACATTGACACTGAAAAAGGTTAGAATAATGGTTTAATCAAAGTTGGTCAGTCTTATTTTAAATTACAATTTTATGTAAACATTGAAAAACATTTAACCTACTGTTTCCTCAATTAATGTAATTTTATTGGTATCTATATTTATTTTGTATTACCAATAGCTGCTGCATTTCCCACCCTCGACTTATACTTGAGTCAATAAGTTTTCCCATTTTTTGGTGGTAAAATTAGGTGCCTCGGTTTATATTCAGTTCGGCTTATACTCGAGTATATATAGTAATTTGCTCCTTGCCTCTATTTTATTAGGATGAGAATGGGTTGAACGAGGACCAGCAGGAAGAAGAGCCTGTTCCAGAAACGCGAATAGAAGTAGAAATTCCCAAAGTAAACACAGATTTAGGAAATGATTTATATTTTGTGAAGCTTCCCAACTTCCTCAGCGTGGAACCTAGGTAAAAAAACAAAACAAAACTATCATATGCACAAACCTCAAAGCAAATATTCCTGTATTGTTGGGGGAAAAAATGAAACAACAGAGTGGCTTTTAGCATTTTAAATTTTATTACAGGCCTTTTGATCCTCAGTATTATGAAGATGAATTTGAAGACGAGGAGATGCTTGATGAAGAAGGTAGAACAAGATTAAAACTGAAGGTATGCATTGAAATTCTGTTCTTCCAGTTTTTTGAGTTCCCCGTAAATGTCCTGCTCCTATTTTTTATCTCATTACAACCTTTTAATTGTTTTATCCTGTATATGTGGCCCGCCCATTGTTATCATTACTGTGATTGTGCGAAACCCACAAGCATGTGGACAAAGCTATTGTCCTCCCAACCCTGCTATATGCCTGCGAAACGTGGACTGCCTACAGACGTCACATGCAGCTCCTGGAACGATTCCATCAGCGCTGCCTCTGGAAAATCCTGCAAATCTTTTGGGAAGACAAGCAGACAAATGTCAGCGTACTGGAAGAAGAAAGACCACCAACATTGAAGCGATGGTCCTCCACCATCAACTCCGCTGGACCGGCCACGTTGTCTGGATGCCCAACCACCGTCTCCCAAAGTGGTTGCTCTACTCCGAACTCAAGAATGGAAAACGGAGTGTTGGAGGACAAGAAAAGAGATTGAAAGATGGGCTCAAAGCCAACCTTAAAAACTCTGGCATAGACACTGAGAACTGGGAAGCCCTGGCCCTTGAGCAGTCCAGTTGGAGATCAGCTGTGACCAGCAGTGCTGCAGAATTTGGAGGTCAGCTGTGACCAGCAGTGCTGCAGAATTTGAAGAGGTGGGTGAAAGAGAGAAATGTGCCAAGAGGAAGGCGCATCAAGCCAACCCCAACCAGGACCACCTTCCACCTGGAAAGCAATGCCCTCACTGCGGGAGAAGATGCAGATCAAGAATTGGGCTCCACAGTCACCTCCAGACCCACCAGAACACTGATCCAGGAAGACTATCCTACTCAACGAGGGATCGCCTAAGTAAGTAAAGTAAGTAAGTTTTATGATAGACGCCTACAGAGGTGAGAAGATCCCTCTTTTCCTTTACTGAATGTAGCTTTTGTTGTATTTTCTTGGTGGGTCTGTTAGATAGTTTGAGGAAAAGTGTTCTTACCAGACGTCAAGGGAACCACGGTCCGCATAAGGAAGCTGATGAAGAAACACAACATACAAATGATGTGATTATGTTTTCCCTGCACGAAGGCAGAATGAAGGGGGTTAGATGGCCCAAGGGGTCTATTATTATTATTATTATTATTATTATTATTATTATTATTACGGAGGCTGGATGACCATCCGTCAGGGGTGCTTTGATTGTGCTTTCTTTGCATAAAGGCAGAAGGGGGATTATTATTATTACTATTGTATGCTGAGGAGATAATGCTTCTGGAACATGGCTAAACATGACCTGTTTAAAGAGCTTCACGGGCTGCCGTTTATTTTCCGGTCCCAATTCAAGGTACAGGTTATCACCTATAAAGCTCTAAACAGTTTGGGACCCGCCTACCTTCGTGACGTATCTCGCTCCACGTACCAACCCGGGCCCTTCGTTCCTCAGGGGAGGTCCTCTTTTTGCCCCTACCAATCTCACAAGCTCATCTTATGGGCATAAGGGAGAGAGCCTTCTATTCTGTGGCCCCCCAACTTTGGAACTCTTTACCTGGGGAGATCAGGAAAGCCCCTTCGCTGGAAACATTTAAAAAGAACCTCAAAACCTGGCTTTTGCGCTGCGCCTTTGGCGAGTAGGTGCTCAGCATGATTTTTCACACCCGCTCAATGTTTTTGGCTAATAGAGCTCGTGCCCTCCAAATAGGATGTTCTGCCCTACAACTCTGTGTGTTTTATGAGTTCCATTTAAACGTCCTGCTCCTATTTTATCTCATCATAGTCTGTTAATTGTTTTTATCCGGAATATGTGGCCCACCCATTGTCATCTCTATTGTGATTGTGTTCATTGGAATGTTTGTTTATTTATTTATTTTAATGTCATTTTGATAATGTTGTTGTTTTCTGTTGTATATGCTTTGATTTTATTGTTGTTTTATGTTGTCCGGGCTCGGCCCCATGTAAGCCACTCCGAGTCCCCATTGGGGAGATGGTGGTGGGGTAGAAATAAAGTATTATTATTATTATTCTTATACAGCCCAGGAAACTCTTAGCAGCCCAGTGATTCCGGCCAAGAAAGCCTTCGACATCACAATGTCAGGCTTGAATTTCATTTTCATGGTGGAGTCATTAAGTAGCCAAAATGGCATCAAGGAGTCCTCTCTCCTTCCAGGCTGCTTTGTTGTTTCATAGAATCATAACATTGAAAGAGACCACAAGGGCTATCCAGTCCAACCCCCTGCCGTGCCGGAAAACACAATCAAAGCCCTCCTGAGAGATGGCCATTCAGCCCCTGCTTAAAACCGCCCAAGACTCAGCATCTACCAGACTCTGAGGCAGTGTTGAACTGCTCCTACAGTCGAGTTCTTCCTAATGTTCAGGTGGAATTTCCTTTCCTGTATTTTGAACCCATTGCTCCAAGTCCTAGTCATGGCCCCTGTGTTGACCATTTTCACCTCATTGAAGCCATTAATACATTGCAGCTGAGCATTATTGCAAATATAATAATAATAACAACAATAACAACAACAACAACAATAAACTTTATTATTTCCCCTGGGGGGGGGGAATAGACTACAGATCCCCAAATCTCTTGACTGTCATATCCACCGGCCCTCCTTTTGGGGAGATAATACAGGAACCCACATGATCTCTTCGATCATCTGGAGAGGCCCTGCTCACGCTCCCATCTCCTTCGCAGGCGCGATTGGTGGGGATGAGGGAGAGGGCCTTCTCGGTGGTGGCCCCTCGACTCTGCAACTCACTTCCCAGGGACATTAGACACACCCCAACATTGGCAGTCTTTAGGAGGAGCCTAAAAACATGGTTGTTCCAGGTGCTTCCCCTGAATAAGGAGAACTCTCAGCAATATGCCCTCATAATGCACTTTTATACTGACTTAGGATGGACTGCGTTCCCTCGTTTCTCTTTGAAAAATCCTATCCCAGTTATATTTTACCTTGTTCGCGTCAGCATATTTTAAATGTTAATCTATTACATTTGGCCTGTCCATTTTTAAAACTTAAAACAATGTATATGTCACTATTGATTATTGTTTTTTGTTTATGTGATTTATATGATTTGTATTTTATTGACTGTTTTATTAATGTTGTGTTATTGATATTTTTGTTTGATGTACTTTGGGCTTGGCCTCATGTAAGCCGCACCGAGTCCCTTGGGGAGATGGTAGCAGGGTACACATAAAGGTTTTTATTATTATTATTATTATTTATACCCCGCCACCATCTCCCGCAATGGGGACTCGGAGCGGCTTACATGGGGCCAAGCCCGAACAACAAATTACAATAAAAAAATACAAATTGCAGTAAAATAAACAACATAACAATAAAGTATAAAACATCAAAGCATATAAACATACACAAAACATAGAAACCGAAACATAATGACAGAGAGCGGGCCGCACAGAGAGAAATATGAACAAAGCCAGTTGGCAGAAGAACAACTCATGGTATATTTGCCAAGTTAATTTCCCCACCCTGTGACGTCTTGGTTGAGCAGTTATGCTTGCAAGACGCTTCTGCACATCATGATTTTGTGTACTGACAGGTGGAGAACACGATACGCTGGCGAATCCGTCGAGACGAAGAAGGGAACGAAGTTCGTGAAAGCAATGCACGGATAGTCAAATGGTCTGATGGAAGGTGAGTTAGTGTGAGGCACAGCTCTGGACTCTCCTTGCAAAGTAGCAGTGAATGCTGTTTAGTGTAAACGATACATATTTTAAATTAATATTTATTGAAAAACTGCAAAACAGTGAGTCCACTAAAAGTGAATCGCGAAGTAGCGAGGGAACACTGTACATGGCTGTAGTATATGAAGTTTTGGCAGATCATTGCAGAAGAAGGAAATGGGAAATGGCCATTCATTGCTGTGGGATGAAGAAAGCTAGAAAGATGTCCTTACATTCATATATTCATAGTTCTTCCAATTCTAAGCAAAGCAAATGATCTCTGGGGTTGTTGTGCAGTAATCTTCCATCTTCTTTTGAAGCATGTCTCTGCATTTGGGGAATGAAGTGTTTGACGTGTACAAAGCGCCGTTGCAAGGGGACCACAACCATCTCTTCATCAGACAGGGAACGGGTCTGCAAGGGCAAGCGGTGTTCAAAACGAAACTCACCTTTAGGTAAGTAAACTCACCCATTGCTGCTCTGGGCCAGAGTGAAGAGGGGGGGGGGGCAGGAAAACACTGTTCCATCTTGTCTCCTGCATATGTCATCCGTTTGGGACCCCTCCCCACAGCACCAACTGCTGCTCTGGGCCAGAATGAAGAGAGAGGAGGTCAGAGGACAGTTCCAACTTGTCTCCTGAGCTATGCTAATAATATAATGTAATATAATATAATATATTGTATATATTTATTTATTATTTATTTACGACATTTATATGCCACCCTTCTCACCCCGAAGGGGACTCAGAGCGACTTACAAGGTATATATACATACAATATATTATTAACACAGTATAGGCTTATGTTATATTATATTACATGTAATATTACTAATAATATTACAATATAATGGTATAGTACAATATAGTAATATATAATACTGATATTGTACTATGCTAATAATATAATATATCGTATATACATATAATATTTATAATATTATAATGTAACTAGCTGTACTGACTGCGCTTTGCTGTGGCCAACCTTCCCTCTTTCTCTCCTTCTTTCCCTCCTTCCTTCACTCCCTCTTTCCTTCTCTTCTTCCTTCCTTCTCTATCTCTTTCCTTCCTTTCCCCCCTTTTCTTTCTCTTCTGCTGTCTCTCTTTTCTTCCTTGTCTCTTTCCTTTTTCCTTCCCTCCCTCTTTCTCTATCTCTCCCCCTTTCTTCGCTCCCTCTTTCCTTCCTTCTTTCCCTTTTTTCTTTCCTTCTCTTTCCTTCCTTCTCTAACTTTCCTTCCTTCCCCCTTTTTCTTTCCCTCCTTCTTTCTCTCCTTTCTTCCTTCTCTCCTTTTTTCCTTCCTTCTTTCCCTTTTTCTTTCCTTCTCTCCTTCCTTCCTTCCTTTCTTTCCCTTTCTTTCTTTCTTTTCTTTCTTCTTTCTTTCTTTCTTTCTTTTTTTCTCCCCTTCCCTCCTTCTTTCTTCCTTTTTTCTGTATTGTCATTTAGCTTTTGGGCTTTTTAAGTCCCTTCTGCTGTGTTTTTCAGTGTTTTTATGAGTGAAGGACATACATTGAGTTGTTAGGTGTCTTGTGTCCAAATTTGGTGTCAATTCCCCCAGTGGTTTTTGAGTTCTGTTAATCCCACAAACGAACATTACATTTTTATTTATATAGATGCAATATAATACTAATAATAATGATATGATATTATAATTGTACATTTTGTATTACATGTAATATTAGTAATAATATTACAATATAATGGTATAGTACAATATAGTAATATATAATATTGATGTTGTACTATGTTAATAATATCATATATTGTATATACATATAATATTTATAATATTATAATGTAATGCAATATAATACTAGTAATAATAATATGATATTATGTTTCTCTCTCTCCTAGGATGCATCTATTATATTACAATATAATGGTATAGTACAATATAGTAATATATAATACTGATATTGTACTATGCTAATAATATGATATTGTATAGATAATATTTATAATATTATAATGTAATACAATATAATACAAATAATGATATGATATTATAATTCTATATATATTACATGTAATATTACTAATAATATTACAATATAATGGTATAGTACAATATAAAAATATTTAATACTATATAATTTAATAATAATATAATACCTTGTAAGCTGCTCTGAGTCCCCTTCGGAGTGAGAAGGGCGGCATAGAAATGTCGTAAATAAATAATAGTACTTGGTCATACTACATTTTTTTTTCCCCAACTTTTTATTTTTACAATACAGAAAATACATACTTTGCACACACAAAACATTTACAATTCCCACCACCAACATGAGGATTATTATCTTTCACATATTCATTTCTTTTTGAGACAATCATTATTTCTTTATCGTTATACATTTCCATCCTGTATGCTATATAGCATTTGTATCTTATTTCTTATGACCTGATCTCCAGAATGATTCATAATATAGTTCATTACCCATGTCCATCTATCTTCCATTTCTCTCATTCGATTTTCATTGATTTTTAAATCATTTAATTTCACATTCATAATTTCGAATTCCATTTGCTCCACCATATAATGGTACCATTTATTTATTGTCCATTTTGATTTATCTTTCCACCCTAATACTATTACTGCTTGTGCACATTCAATTATTGCTTCTTTTATTTCCCTTTTATTTCCCATTTCCTCTCTTTTCCCTAATACCGCTAATTCCTTTGTTATGACCCACTCATGTCCTAATATTTGATTTGACACATTTTGTATAGTTTGCCAAAAATCTTGTACATATTCGCATTCCCACATCATGTGCATAAAGTGCCCTTTCTGGTGGCATCCATGCCAGCACTGACTACTCCCCTCTTTAAAGTAGTATGCTAATTGGCAGGGTGTGCGATACCATTTGTGCAATATTTTCCTCCTCGTTTCTCGTACTTTAGTATTCCTTTCCTTTCCTTTCATACTACATTCTCAAGCTGAAATTCGCTAAGATTACTTTTAATTTGACAACTGTTTTCACCTAGGCCTCACTCAACAGACAGTGCCACGCACAGGAAGATGACTCTCTCCCTTGCGGACAGATGTTCAAAGACACAAAAAATACGTATTTTGCCAATGGCTGGCCGTGACCCGGAATCCCAACGCACAGAAATGATAAAGGTACAAATTTAGGGTTGTGAGTCCAGAGTTGTCTTAGAGGCAGTTTTAAAAATTAATACAATATATGTAATACATTATAATGTAATACAATATATGTAATACATTATAATATATATTTATTACATGTAATAATATTACAATTTAATGGTATAGTACAATATAGTAATATATAACACTGATATTGTACTATACTAATAATGTATTATATGTATATATATCTTGTAAGCTGCTCTGAGTCCCCTTCGGGGTGAGAAGGGCGGCATAGAAATGTCATAAATAAACTTGCTGACCAGAAGGTCAGTGGTTCAAATCCACAGACGGGGTGAGTTCCTGTTGTTAGGCCCAGCTTCTGCCAACCCAGCAGTTAGGATAGGATTGTTGTTGTGTGCTTTCAAGTAGTTGTATATACATATAATATTTATAATATTATAAAGTAATACAATATAATACAAATAATGATATTATAATTATATATTTTATATTACATGTAATATTACCAATAATATTACACTTTAGTGGTATAGTACAATATGGTAATATATAATACTGACATTTTACTATGCTAATAATATAATATATTGTATGTATATATATATCTTGTAATCCACTCTGAGTCCCCTTCGGGATGAGAAGGGCGGAATATAAATGTCATAAATATTTATTGCTCCATGTATTTATTTACAGTATTTATATGCCGCCCTTCTCACCCTGCAGGGGACTCGGGGCAGATTACAATGTACGTTTACACGGCAAACATTCAATGCCATAGACACACAACATATATAGACAGATACACAGAGTACAATGCATTATATATTACATTGTACTATAACATTATACTGATAATAGATTGGTTCAATTCCATAGTTGGTGAAGTTCAGAATGATCTGTGATTGTAGGTGAACTATGAATCCCAGCAACTACAACTCCCAAATGTCAAAATCATTTTTTTTTAGTGAAGGACATACATTGGGTTGTTAGGTGTCTTGTGTCCAAAATTGGTGTCAATTCTCCCAGTGGTTTTTGAGTTCTGTGAATCCCACAAACGAACATTACATTTTTATTTATATAGATTATTATTTTTATATCCCGCCAAGCATCTCCCCAAGGGGTCTCGGGGCGGCTTACAAGGGACACTCCCAAGATTACAATTAAAACTCACATGTAAAACACTTTAACCAATTAAAACATTAGATAAAATAAATAACAACACAATTGAAAGCAATATAAAAACAATACAACTGAAAGAAACCTAGCTGAGGAACAGATTCAATGAGTGCAATACATTTTTACAGGAGCACTTAGTTGCATGGCTATCTAGACTCTCTCCCAAGCGCCATGCATGACACCTTCCTGCCCACTTTGTCCCACCACCCTTGTGTTCTTTGGCCCCGGCAGAAAGAGGAGGAGAGGCTGCGAGCATCCATCCGCAGGGAGTCCCAGCAGCGGAGGATGCGGGAGAAGCAGCACCAGCGGGGCTTGAGTGCCAGCTACTTGGAGCCAGACCGCTACGATGATGAGGATGAAGGCGAGGAAGCCATCAGCCTGGCAGCCATCAAGAACAGATACAAAGGTGGCATCAGAGGTAAAGACAACTTCCATCTTGAATCGTATTTGGGTCGTTGATTTAAAAGTCTGCTTCAGGCTGTCATGGAGTGTGCATCAATATTGAATTTAATGGACAGATTAAGTTCAATCGCTTAGTAGACTTACTGTATATACTCGAATATAAGCCTAGTTTTTCAGCCCCTTTTTTAGGCTGAAAAAGCTCCCCTCGGCTTA